TTTCCATTTTCCCTTTGAAGTGTATCGTTACTCCATTCACTGGTGTATCGGTACATCCCTTCACTGGTGTATCGGTACACTGCCTAGGTATCAGTACACAAATTACATTCAAAAAATTTTGTTTCAAGGGGGTATCGATACACTGCCTATGTATCGGTACCCTTTGAATATCTTCTTGAATTTTACTCTTGACGTATCAGTACTTGTTGAATGGGTACCGATACCCCTTGCCTAGAAAATCATTTTTAAGCCCGAAAATTCACCCACACTTACCTAATTCTTCTTATATAACCTCCTTTTAGCCCTTTAAACTTAACTACACTTATTTTAGCCAACTTATATCACTATAACTCACCTTAATATCCAATATTCTATCTTAAATTTGAAAACCAAGAATTTTACCAATTTATCAACATGTTCTAAATTCATTTCTCACACTTTGGATTTCTTATTTTAATTGATGACAAGTCAAATTTAACTTCCAACTTTATTTACTAACTCTTTTCCAAGATTTCACTTTGAAACCTCTTATCTTTAATATCTCATAACTTGTTAATCTTTGAGTTTTAAACCATTTAAAACTCCCCTTAAGCTTTCTTATCACTCTAAGGTGGCGTTTGGTTAGATGGAATCCCTTGGAATTGGGGGGAATTGGAATCCAATTCCATCACTTTCCCATGTTTGGTTCAAGTTTTCCAAGGGAATTGGAATCCCTCGTGGCTTCAACTTTCCATTAAATGAGGGAAAGTGAATTCCATCCAAGAATGGATGGAATTCAATTATCTTGTTGGAGGGAATTGAAATTTGACCATACTACCCTCATCAATCTTTTGATAACTTATTCATATATTCAATAAAAATATTTTTTTATTATTTCGGGTCGGGTTTCTAATTCATATATTCGGGTCGGGTTGGGTGAGTTATTTTAGTCGGGTCGGTTTTTTTAAGTGTGATATTCGGGCCGGGTCGAGTTCGGGTTTAGGGTGAAAAATACCCGACCCGAAAAGATATATAATTTTACCTTATATATTTAGGAATAATTACAATAATACCCCTATATATATATATTTTCAATTAAGTCACTATTTTTATTGAATAATGTTTTATTATTATTTTGGGTTGAGTCGGGTCGGATTTCTAATTCATATATTCGGGTCGGGTCGGGTGAAACTTTATTTTGTTCGGGTCGGATCAGGTTTTTTAAGTGTGATATTCTGGTCGAGTCGGGTCGACTTTTTTTAAGTGTAATATTTGGGTCGGGTCGATTTTGGGTTTAGGGTGAAAAAAACCGGACCGACCCGAAAAAATATATAATTTACCTTATATATTTAGGAATAATTATAATAATACCCCTCTATATATAATTTTTTTCAATTAAGTCAATGTTTTTATTGAATAAAAATAATTTTTTTATTTTTTGTTGTGTCGGGTCGGGTTTCTAATTCATATATTGAATAAAAATAGTTTTTGGTATATTTTTTGGTAACTAATTAACATACTCCGATTGGAATGTATCGAAATATTGCTATATCTTTTGGTAACTTATTAACATATTTTGATTGCGATGATTTTAACTTATGATGTTTATTAGCATGATTTTCAATCAATAAAATAAAAATTTAATATTTTTTAATTTTTTATAATATATTACTACATGTAAGTTGTAAAATAAACTAAAATAAAACAAAAAAACAAGAAGGATAATTCTGTCATTTTACATTACTGAAATCAAATTCATCTGACATGTATGCCAACCAAACAGAATATGGAATTGGATTCCAATTCCTGACAGATTCCAATTCCTTCACAGATTCCAATTCCTTCACAGATTCCAATTCCCTCATAAACATTCCAGCGAACCAAATGCCACCTAAGGATCAAAACCAACTTAAAAATTAAAGGAAATCTTAACTTGAGACTAACTCACCTTATTCATGGTACCACGAGAAGAAGAAGAAAGGTTCACCCACCTCCAGACTTTTCTTTCATTTTTCCTCTTAATCCACACGTGTTATATAGCATACAAATAAAGGATACAAATCTTTTTTGTCAAATAACCATTTTACCCTTCCAACTCTCAATCTTTACTAATCAATCATCCCCACATAATTTTTCAATTAAGTCATTGAACTTTTAATCTTTTTTGAAAATGAGCACAAAGTCTCCAAAATTTACATTTTAGTCCTAGCCCTATATTTGGGATGTTACATTAAAGCTTTAACTGTCAAGATTCAATGTACGAAATATAAAGTGCGCAACCACAAAATTCTTGCAAAGATTTTGGAATCCAATTATTTGAATCCATACTAAAAAATTAGTGTAGCCATATCTCACATTAAAATTAAACTAAAAAATATTCTTCAAAGAACTTAAAATTCATAGATTCAAATTTGAAGGAAACTTATATTTGGCGTAAATTCCTCTTGATTTCCGCTCAATATTTGTTTTGTCGAATTTTTGACACTTCTCTTATACACAACAAGGATTAAACTCAAATGAATTCTATATCATCTCAGAAAATAAAAAATTAAAATATGTCTTAAGATTTTTAGAAAAAGTAGTGCACTAATCCAAGATAATATAGAAAAATAATAATGAAACAAATATCATTAAAATCAAGAGGATAAAAGGATAAAGAGAGTTTACTCTTATCTTGAGATTGTTATATGAAATAACAATTAAATACGAAATCAATCATGAGAAAATAAACAAAAAAAACTAAATTTATTAAAGATAAAAATAAATGGAAATAAAATACTCTTTTTATTTTGATCAATCAATCAGAATCATTTGAGACCTATCGCTACACAGTTTCCTTTTGACAGATTTTTGGCCACTCCTTTGGTGTTCGAGTTTGTTGGTCGTATGTTTCCTAGAATACAACAACTAGATAATCAGCTATAGTAGCACCAGTGTAGATCATACTTATTGACTTGTGAAAGCTTGCAACTTTTAACTTGTAAATAACCTAGCAGATTAGGGAGTTTCAAGATAGATTTAATCCAAACAGATATCTTTTAATATTCAAATGTAAACATGGATTTAATCCAAACATATACTTTTTAATATTCAAAGTAAATAGATAACATCATTGAATTTAAAATATTAAAAAGATAAAACTCCTTTTACCATTCAAACTTAGACCAATATTATTTTAGTTTGAAATATACAAAAGTATATAATTACCTTTGATATCCAAAGTTAAAAATGTAACACATACCTTTTTAAATTGATGTATTCAAAAATTAATTATCCTACTAACATTCAAATTAAAAGTTATATTTTAATTTGCAATAGTTAAAAGGAATATAAATTTAATATAAATATTAAATCCATCAATTAAATTCACCATTTTTCTAACAGTGTTTATCGTTATATATTTTACACTTTTAGGTGTCTATTGTTATATAGTTTAATTTTTAATTTTTTAATAATAAAAACATTATTAAAGAAAGAAAAAATAAAAACAAACTCACATCGTCCCTCTTCCTCCCATCCCCACCGCTGATGGTGAAAGTTCACCACATTTCAGGTTTTGTTCAGAACAAGATGAGGAACTCAACGGTGACGGCCATGTAATGTACAAACGACTATAGCCATCAAAATCTTCAAAAATAACAAAAAACTTCGAAATTCGACAACATTCACAGCCAGTGACAAATTCGAAAAAAAATTATGGATTAAACCAATATAAATATAATAAAAAATTATCTAATATAATTAATATATATTTATAATTTAAAATTATAATAATATTTACATATATATTTAGATAAAAACTAGAAAAAAATACTAATTGGAGCTATATATATTAATTTTCTTAAAATAATTTATACATATTTTTATTTAGGGTAAACTACCTATTTGTTAACTCATCTAATACTTAATCCATGTTTTGGTCATTTAATTATTATTATTTTTTCAAAATCATAATATAATGTTATATTTTCATTATGTTTTGATTACATATCGTTAAAATAATAATAATAATAATAATAATAATACTAACATGACATTTTTAATTATTTTCAATCTTGATGTAGAATTATCTTATGATGATACGTTAATATTATCATTAAATTTTTTAAAAGATAAGTGACAAAAAATGTAATGTTAGATATGATTTAAAATAAATAATAGTTAGATGATCAAAATAAAAACTAAATAATAGGTGGACGACTAAAGGGTAATTTACCCTATTTTTTGGCATAGCGTGTGCCATGGCCTAGGCCTAGATACTCCACTGTTCGCGATATTTTTCACGACGATTGGCGCAGTTTCATGGTAGTTGGGGGATTGAGTTTTATTCCTAGCGGCGAGACAGTTCTAATGGGATCAACAGTGACGACCACAAACCGACAATAGAAGATGTAAAATTTGGGGTTTGTTAATTATAATATTAATTTTTTAAATAAAATATTTAAAAAAATTAATATGTGTGACATGTGTCAGATAACGATTAAATTTAACAGTTGTTACGGTCTAGACACTTAAAACAACGTTGGAAACATTAGAAACTTATTGTTAATAAAAAAATCTTTAGCCACCAAATCGTATTTTGAGATATATTTCAAGAACTAAAAAGTATATGAAGCATTATAACTTTAATATTATAAAAAAAGTTTAATGTTTAATTACTAACTCTATTAGATTTAGAGTAAATTAAAGGTTGAATTTGATTCTAGCTTAAATAGTAGTAGGGAAATATGTTAAATCGACTTTTACTATTAATTTATGTATTGTATATAAATCTTACATTTAGTGTATTCCTTTTAAATCCTATAATTTATTATTTAAGTATTTTACTTGACTTGAAATTAAAAATTTTAATATAAAAATTAAAGTTGATTGAATCAAGGAACTAAATTATGAATTTATGCATAATATAAGGACGAGTAATAGTAGTTGACCATTTAGAAGAGAATAGGAGAGTCGAAGAATCTAAGGAGCAGATCGGACATTGGGAGGTTCAATAAAGGGTCTCCGAGATCTGATTGGTTTATTTAGTGAGGCTGAAAGTATCCGATTGAACGAAAAACAGTCCTAACAGAGTAACTGGTCTTTTTGCTATTCTCAACTGAGAAAATGGAAGACCCGAAAGCTGCCCCGAACCCACCAACTGCAACCGCAAACGCAGCCGCTCCTCCACCGCAGCCACCACCCGCAGCACCAGAACAGCCAGCTAGCAAGAAAAGACCTCTAGAAAACAGCAATGACCAGTACCACAGAATTCTCCGTATTTCAAGACGAGTCTTGTTCTCAAAGATCTTCGTACTCATTTCATCGAGGTATATTCATATATTTCCAAAATATCTCCCTTTTTCAATTTATTTATTGTTTTGGTTGTCTATCCCCCCCCCCTTTCTTGCATGTTGATTTCAAATAAGAGAAAAAGAAACCCTTGTTTGTGAGCAAGTTTCGGTTTTCTGGACTAGCTGCCCCTTGACTTCCCCAATAATTTGTATATGGCAGTAAAATTGGATTATAATCGTTCAATTCTTGAGTTTGGGTACTTAGGTGTTCTTATTTTGTGGGTTTCTCTTAAAGTGTTCTTATTATTCTTGGTTATCTCAAAGTTTATTTTTTTAACTAAGGATAGTTTTCTTTGTTTGTTCCATTGTGGATGATGACTTGGTTATTGCATGAACAATGTAAAGGTTATGGCAAAATTTATGTGTGCCTGAAGTAGTTTCATGAATCTGGATTGCTTGTATGAGTTACTTTTTGTTTTTCTTTTTCTTTTAGTGCTTTCTATATTCATGGAACATTTTGTTGATATGACATGATATTGATTTTCTGTTCCTTGAAGGTTCTTCGAGTGTCTGATTTTCGAAACTGCAAGGCAGCCGATGAAATAAAAGAAAGTAAGCTCACAATACACTTTGTTAAGTTTTGCGACTGTTGGCTTAGTGAATTCATCCATTTCAATACTATATTGTCTGTGGCTCGGTAACTGTCGTAAACTGCTGTCTTCATGGATTTGATCGGTTACTGCTATCTATTGTCTTAGCCTATTGGAAAAGAAAAGTACTTGCATCTCTTTAGTTTGATTGACATCTTTTAGCTACTATTTAACTTTGGTTCTTTTAAGTCGAAATGCAAATTTTCCATTTGCAAAAGGCTTGGATTGAGAAACTTCAATATGACTTGGCTATTTGAAACCCCATTTAACTCTGTTAATCCACCTGTTGGCAGTTAAAAAGTTATGATATGTTTTACCAGAAAAGCTTAAGAACCTGAGCATATTGATTCCACATTAAAAATGTTCATTCCAGAGCCAGATGGACATAAAATAATATTGTATTAATTTCCCTATTTCTCGAATCACTTCTATTATAAGGAGACGTTCTCTTGATGTGGCTTCGTATCACGTGTTTTATAACAGAATACTGCACCTGCAATTTTGTTTTAGGTAAACTTTTTATATCATTAATTTGCAGTTAGCCAGTTGCTAATGTTGAACATTTTCTCATGTAAACCACTTCATTAGAATATGATCTATGGTTGCTGATCACACTGTGGATAGGATATTAATGTTTGATTCAAAACCTAAAGGTTACGCTTTCAAAATTTGTGATTTACAGAGACAAAGCATTTAGTGGAATTGTACAATCAGATGTTAGCCTCCGTAGAGAAAAGTAACAGTGCACCCGGAGCCGGAGGTCAGACACTGCAAGTTGAAACCAGAATGAAGCAGAAGCCCCAGGAGCAACCGCAAGTCATTAAGCCAACACCAGCAGTATCATCCAAAACCAAGATTTTGCAGTCAAGTAGTGTCACCAGGAAACTACAATCTGACGATGGTGGTGAAGCTACAATCTGACGATGGTGAAGCTCAGGGGACATATATTGTTGGGGGCTCGGCTTTTGGGTGGAACTTTATAACCTTTACAGGGAATAAACCAGTCTATTATGGGGTAACAAAGGAATCGTTCCGTAGTGCTCAAGCAAGTTCTGGTTTAGGGGGAGAGTGAAAGTCTTTCTGACATGTATTGTGGGCTAAATATTGCATAAACACTAAATGCTTTTGGAGCTCAAACGTTATATAAAATTTAAGTATTGCTTTTTAACTTAGATTTTTAGTTGGATTTCTAACATTCCTAGTATACTCTTGTTATCTCTATTGTCTGGTTCTTGAAATTAAAAAAGGAGCCATTGACTTAGAACTAGTAAAAGAGTATCTAAGAAATTGAATGTGCCTGCTGTACAATATATCTAATATAAATGTAAAATAACTTTTCTTCAAACTATGGCTAAGTGGTAGAGCATTTGACTGCAGATCAAGAGGTCACCGGTTGGGCCCGCTCTTCATTTTTTAGTCTTTTTTAAAACTTAAATTTGTAAAACATTTTTCTTAGTGCTCAGACATGAAGGGTCTATATCTCAGTGGTAGATCATTTGACTGTAGATCAAGAGGTCACCGGTTCGAACCTGGTTGGGCCCTTTTTTCTTGTTTCTTTTTCTCGGCTCCATAACTTTGAAGGTCTTGTTACGTGTGATTCCGAAACCAATGAAAGATATAACAGTGATATTTCTCAGTGACCCAACTGTGTTATGGGCAAAAGAGACCATGACCTTGTTTCGTCGTCATCTATCGTAATGGGCTGTAAATATTAAGGTCTTAAATTAATACCAAGTAATTTTAAGTTTCAATCTAACTAACTTTTCAATTTGCTTACACTGTTTTATTGTATTTTCATTCCTTTTGGGTAAATATTGGCTTACATCACTGTTTATATGTTACGTACTCTTTGGTACAACTATTTAATATTTTTATTTTATTACTTTTTACAATTATGTTTTAAAATTAAGGGTAAACTACCTAAATGACAACCCACTATGGGTCTTGGTATCGAAATGATCACTATTTTTAAATTTACGTCAATATGACCACTGGAATATTTAAATAGTTTAAATAAAGTCATATGTCATTAACATTCGACGGAAGTGTTTACTTTGCAGTTAACAAAATTAGAATAATTAGGATGTGGGTCCTTGTAAAGTTATGTATTCACGGCACTGAAACTCCGCTTTGTTTTCTTCCATTTTAGTCACTACTTTGTATATGATTTATTTTTTTGGATTTTCATTTAACGCAATTTGATCCCGATTCTGTTTTTAATTTGTCTAATGTCTATTTTGAGTATTAACTTTAAAATATTTTATTCTAATAATGTATTAAATTTATAAAGTAAATCCCCTAGATTTTAGAATTAATCAATGTGATCACCAAGATTAACTTTAATTCTTAATTTTTAATTAGATCCTAATTTCAATTTAATTTAATAAATTTATTTCTCCAATCAAATTGTGATACATGTCATAATCTAATTAAAGGGATTTTGTAATTTTAATTTAATTAATTTAATAAATTTTCAATCTAATCAAAAGGTGACACGTGTCACCTTTTGAATTGAAGTGAAAATAAATTAAGATTATTTTTGACACCCAAGGGAATCCAACTTGGGTCCCAAGGGTAACATGCGCATGCCTTAACAAATGAGCTAATTTCATGCTTATTAACAATTGAGCTAATCTCATGTTTGTTATTAAGATAATACATATGTTATATAAATTGTTCAAGTTTAGGCAAAAAAATTAAAATAACTTAATTAGATTTGAACCCAAAATGAATTAGTAACCAAGCAAGCCTTAATCAATAAGCTAAATCCAATATTATATTATATTTAATAAAAATAAATACAAACGAATGTCAATTGAGAATATGACAACACTTAAATCACTAAAATAAATCTAATAATTTATTTCTAATTGATTTAAGATTTTAATATTTTTAAACTAAATTTATTGTTTTCATATTTATTTTTTAATTATTATATATATAATCATTAAAAATAATTTAATATTCAAATTACGATTATGAAAAAAATTATTTAAGATTCAAATTATGAATTTATCCTTTTTGTATCACCCATAGCCCGTATACATCTCAAAATACGAGCTAAAGATGTCACATCAACTTTACAAACATTCTCTGATCATAAATGCTTAAAATTTTGTTCCATTGTAAAAAAAAATCTCTTATTAACTTTACAATTATTCCATTAATCGTGTAAAATTATAAAATAATAATTTTCTTATAAATCAAGCTTAATTTTATGTAGAAGTTTAGTAGTTCAATAGTAAACGATATTGCTTAAAAACTATCTAATTTTAAAATATTTATTTGTTCTCGTAAAATATAATTTTTATCTAAAATATAAAACTTGGATTTGTATTTATAACCCTAATAATATATCTTAGATATTTCTTATTCGTATACATGACATCTAGAAAATTTAAAATAGTAGGATGCCATTACTGGTACTTGTAGTTGTTCTTTGTTGATTGATATCAACTCGACTCCTTACTTCACTTGTCCTTCTTGACCTACGTGTGAAAATCATCACACGGTAAGTATTCACTTAGTGAGGCATTATAAACAAACTAAGGTGACATAAAATATTAAACAACTTAACAACATCATAACATTATATTTCTTTATATAAAACTTAGCTTAAAATATCATAACAATTCAAAACATTAAATTTAAATTCAAATAAAATATTAAATATCCAAACTGATTATTCAAACCATTTTTCCTCATCAGAGACTTGAAAATCATCATCTCATGGTTTTGTCAAAATCATAATAATCAATAATAAATATAACAATCATGTCATACTCTATTTCATTCAAATACTTTTCAGAACTTTTTTATTTTATTCTCATTTTCCACTTTCATATTCATTCACATATTCATTTTCATATTCCATGTTCATAATAAATACTTTCACATTTTAGAATTTATTTTCTAAATCAGAACTTATTTCTAGATTCATAACTTATTTTCAGACTCATAACTTACTATCAGATTCATAACTTATTTTCAAATTTACAACTCAATGCATATTTATGAGAATGCAAGGCACATGATTTATACATAATGTGCACACAATGCACTTCAGTGTCAAATCATCAACATAAGGTGCACTATAAATGCAAATCATATCATATGCACCAACGGTGTCATACGTAATGTACACGAATGTATCATAAATTAACTTGAAATTAACTCAACTTCCTGACATGCCAAGTGTACCTACGACTCTCAATACCAAGTGTTTCCCAGGAAGTGGTTCCACCGGAATCCTACGGCAGACGACTGGATATTGCTCGTCGTAGGTTTATGGATTATGATTAAATAACGTTTTTCACTTTCATAATGAAATAAAATCAGTTGTGAAATCAATGTTGTGCAGACTGTGAGTCCTACGGCCTGCGACAGCCGTTGCTTTCTTTCAGGCCAATTGTTCAACAGAAAGGGGGAGGAGGTATTTAGTTTAATCTGTTTTCTTTCTTTAATCCCATTGTTCTTCCCTTCTACTTTTTAGTCCCCAGTTGCATTTCTTTTCCACCAAATCTCATTCTTGTGTTATCGACCCGATTATCATACTCGTGTATGTTGATTTGCAGCTTGTTGTAACATTGACTCAAGAAGTACTGCTTAAGATGGTTACGCCTCCGAACCCATCAGTTAACTCGAAGCTTTGAACTGCAAGACCATTTTGTATGATTACTTGTTCTCTTTTCAATTCATTAATGAGTTAATATCATTGTTGCACTAAATTCCAATTATATCAGATGTTAATAGAAGGTTTAGACGCGTATCGAGGTCAGGAGTTGATGGATTGTGAAGAAATTATAGAAAGTAACAAACAAGTGGTACTGAATTCCGATAATTCTTTCTAGACTCGTCAAGAAAAAATTATTTCTTTTCATCTTATAGAGGACAAGGATTCTTATCGGGCAAAGGAGCTGAAGAACAATATAATCTTAGTTAGACGGAGGCGTTGCGAGCAAGGGAAATGTCGAAGAAGAATAGTTTAGCTCGTAGAAAAAGGCAGCACAAATTAATTAGGTTGATGGCAGTGAGAAGAAAAAGAAGACAGGTGGAAGTGGATTTCAAGTAGGGAAGAGAAAATTGAAGACCAAGTTAACAGAAGCGGCTAAAGCCAAAGCAGCTCAAGCTATGGAGCTCGACAAATGAGGTTTATTTATCTATCAAAATATCCTAGGGATTTGTTTTTCCTTCTCTGCTGGATTTTTCTTATCGAGCATAAGGTATTTGTTAGCCTGAGAATTCTTGGATGTTTATTCAGTGACCCATTTTTTCCAATATAAATATGTTTATTAGTTTGGAATACATGTTTGAATAAATAATGTGATGACTTACAGCCTAGTCCGGTGAATGTTTGTTTTCCTTGAATCATCTTTTTCTAGCTGTGATTTTTTTTGGAATTTGTAACGTGTAAGTCTGCTACTGCTATGCTTGATATTGTATGGGTACGTGATGGGAAGGCAATAAGTTTGTTGAGGGTTTTCTTTAATCCAACTTACCAAATACCGTACTTGGAAAAAAACATCTTGGATAGCTGTTTCCACCGTGTTTATTTGAGAGGATTTTCTTCAATTCAACCGAGCCAGCATAAGGCACTAAACGCTTTGTTGGATATGACCCAAATGGTTTCAATGTTTTGCAGAATGCAAATTTTGGTACTTGTTTGTGCCTTCCCACTTGAAGTTGCAAACCGGCCTTGGTTATTGACATGAAAATATTTTCTATCTTATGCACTCCTTTTTGCACGGTGAACGTAGAGGCGTTATTTTCTGAGGCTTAAAGCATGTATGTTTCATGTTAATATTAAGCTAAGTCAAACGAAATCGTCATTCCTGGTGATGTTTTGATGCTTTATATATATATATATACGAAAAATAAAAAAGAATTATAGTGAATTAGGACTATTGGATGTGTGTAAATTGATGATTGAGATTATCTTTTTTTTTTTCTCTAATAAAAGTATCCTCATTTTCAACTTTAATCTCAAATATCAATTTAAACTTGTCCAGGTATCCCAATTTAGTGTAAATTTAAAACATTTTACATTAAGTAACTAAATCCTACCTCTTATATATATATATATATATATATATATATATATATATTAGAGAGGTGTGTGATGGTAAGAGTTAAGACCGAATGA